CAATCCAGCCTTCAATGTATACAATGACCGACCAAAATCACTGCTGCATAAAATGTAGGCGTGCTTGCTGAGCATTCTCATGGCTACTGTTTTTAGTCTATGACAAGAAGCATACAATTTGAACAGTGTATTGCTAGGCTGAAACAGAGATACTCCATGCCTGTTACTTTCTATATAGCGCTTTCCATTGATGTCCTTTGAAATAATACGCGTAAATATGTGGTCGGGAAGATTTAGCAGGTGAGACATTGTCAATTAAGGAAAAATAAAAAAAATTGAGGTAAGAGAGAAGCAATGTGAATGCTCGCCATTTCGAAGGCAAACATCAAAAGAAAAGGGCTCTAAAGACAAAGGGTTCTTCAAAGAACCCTTTGTCTTTTCCGCAAAAGTAGTTCAACGTCATTTTTAAAAAATGGACCTTGTCTACAGACAAGCTTTGAAAGAAAATCTTCAAAGCAGTGTCCATGATCTGCGTTTACTGTTTGCCACATATATATGATAGTCTCTTTCAGTACTTTTGTGTATTATTTTTATTAAGTAGCAATGTGGAGTAACCAATCATTGTAGAAACAGCGGACATGGAGTACTCCAGCTGCTGCATCTTGAAAAACGTTAACAGATGGGCTTTCTATTCAAAGAAAGTTTTCTAAATAAATGTGCAACTATTTTTCCAACGAAAAATAGAGCATCTCTAATTGGACATGGGTACTTAAGAGAGCTCAAGTTTGCAGTTGGTAAGTCGGGTTCTTGTGTAGGAGCTAGCATAATCAAATGTGACAGACACTTACTCAAGAGAAGTGTAGGTGTGTGCGTGAATAAGCAGTTTGGTATCTCCTTGATTGAAGACAACACAAAGAAAAGGAGTAATTTATCCAACTAGAATGCATATCAACTCTTTAAGAAAAAAAGGTCTCGCTCCCAGCCATAGACGCCATTTCCTTAAACTGGAGAGCAGCTTCTCCCTATTTAGAAGAATGGCCTGGTGTCTACTTGGCCATGCAACCACAAATACAGTCACACCTTATCTCGATTTATACTTTAAAAGAGTGTTTATTTCAATTATTCAAGTAACTTGACTTTTGGGCAACTCCAGAACAGTGCGTTTCCCCTGCTAAACTGTGAACGGGGTGTCATGGTAAGATGCAAATCTTGTCAATATCTTCAAAATTAGGGTGACAAACTTTGCAGTGTGCAAGGAATGCCTCGTATGACTAGAATGATCTTTGGCAAATAGTGCATAGAGCACCGTGAGGCTCGCTTGCTGTCTCTGTTCCTTGCGTGTCTATAGCCGGCATTATAAAATAAACAGAGTCTAGGAGTAGAAAATAGATATGGAAAAGTGGAGGTAATTTCAAATCATTTGTGCTGACAGCGACCCTTCTTTTTATAGAATGTTAGGTTATTTTCATGGGCAGGAACTTTTTTATCTGTATAACGCAATAGATTCACATCACATGTATGTTTCAGTGCTAAAAATCAGGCGTCTGTCATAAATATATATCTGGACAGAGCTGGACTATACCAGACCACTGTGTTGAATAGAAGACTTCAAATGCAAAATAGTATGCCAAGATAGCGATATTTTTTTATTTAAATGACTAAACTGTATAGATTTCGAGAGGGAGTGCTGACAGAACAGTGCTGCCATAGATGTAGTCTGCAAGATAAACAGAGTTGCCAAAGTTTACACTTAGGCTTAATGACAATGATGCTCCTGCAGTGCTAACTGCGAAGGAAACACGCGATCACAATTTAGACAAATAAATGAAGTCATATCACTAGTACTCGTAGTTGGGTAATCAGCCTCTTGTGCAGTAGACAAAGGTGCAATAGAGTATGGCGGATAAAGCCTTTCCGAAGCTTCCAGGTAGTGGAGAAAGAGAGAGGGAGAGATGTGAGCAAGTGGGTGAGAATGGTGGTGGATGATAGCTGTTGGAAAATGGAGAGGAATGAGAGGGTGTATATTTTAATATAAAGTTCTATGGGAATAGAGACAAGGATAGTTACCTTAGGCTTTTATCTTTTATAGGCGACAAGAAAAGGGAGCTGTAAATTCTGGCCATTCATGTGGTGTCACTGGGTCCAGGAAGAAAAGCCCATTCCTAATCAGACATTTATTGACGCAATCATTATGTGCTAGTGAGACATGGCTAGATAAAAAGTCGGTGCAGGCGTACTAATCACGCAAAGGAAGAGTGGTGCCTTTTAAAGCTATCGATCTACCTTGTTTATCAACAAGTCTAAGATTTAGCTCAAAATTGGTCTGAAATTGTATTCAGTTTCAGGGCTTGGGCGTTGATCAGATCAAAGAATTAAGGGTTTTGTGATGTAGTGGTTAGCATCTCAGATTTTGATTCTGAATACCCGAGTTCGACTCTCGGCAAGACCTCATTTTTAGTTTTTAATATTTTTACTCTCCCGCGAGCGGAAATATGGTAGTGTGTGATGCTAACAAGTTTTTATTTTATTTTACTTTTTTAAAGGCTGTATCTCTTTCATCAATGCATCTTATTGCCATGTCCAGACAGCATCAAGAGATTTAAGTGATCTTTACTAGGAGCAGCGTAGTGCTGCGTAGCATGTGCAAGTGTACATGGTAGCACACAAGTTGAACTCTGGTGGTAATTGCAATTACTCGCCCAGATAACTATTTTTCCTACATTGTAGTGGCTTGGACATGTCGCCCCTACAATCAGACAGTTTGTTTAGCAATGTCGCTGATGACTGGTTAAATTTTGAAAACAAGCGAGAAGAAACTCCCAGTCTCAGCCTAAATGCTGGACGGGTGAACATATAAATACTAAAACTGTCACATATGAGCGCCAACGGACTAGGGCGTAATAGGTGATATCAATAGTTGTCGCTGCCTTTGATTGTCATACTTTTCATTCGAGTATTTATATGTTCACCTGCCCAGCT